ATTTAAAAAGCTCAAATAAGCCCATGCTGGCAGATTTCTAGGCTCTCTCTGAAAACTGCAGACTTCACAACTTAGTCATTTTCTTCTGTCCTGAGTTTTCTCCATCTCTTGCTGCTTCCTACTGTGATTAGGGTTTGAGCAGAAACATGTTGCAGTGAGAGTTTTTGACCCTTCCTTTTCTGCTTCCTCCAGCCACTAAGGCAGAATAGACTCTTTGTGTAAAACCTGAACAATCACGAAGGAGACATTAGTCTCCACCTCACTGGAGCAAACAGAAAAGCTTTGTTCTGGGACAAAGGCTCAGTGCAGTACCATGGATGGGACAAGGCCCTCGTGAGGATTTTATAAAGTTCTAAGGCCCAGAATCTTCCTGTGCAGGCAGCAATGCTTCCACTCGCATCTGAAGTAATTCTTACTGAAGCAAGAGCTAAACTTGATCGTGAAATGGTAAAAAGCTTTCTGAGTGACTGTCTGCCAGTATGTCATTTTCCAATTGTTATTCGTGTGCCGGCAGCCTGAAGATAAAAAAAAACAATCTGGGAGTTCAGAGACAGGCAAAATCAAAGCAGTGAAAACAAATTCATTCACTGGATGAGTGGTATTACTCTAAGAGCATCTTGGCATCTATATAGGGTATGACAGTGAAGTCAAAAGAAAGTGGATTTAGTCCCGAAAGTTTATGCTGTATTTAAAATGTGAATATCCTAGATAGGACTTATGCAATCTCCTAAATACAGTGACACTGTAAGAAGTAATTGATGAAATAAGAGTGGGGGGTATGGGGGAAGTCTGTCCCTCTTTATTTATTGCCTTTTTTTTGTATGCTCATGAGAGATAATGACACTGAACTCAGTCATCCAGGGAATTCTGGATACTGGCACTGCTGGCAGCTGGGCTTGTATCCTCTGAAAGGGATCAGCTTCTTGTTGTGACATTCCTCCTGTGGATTTTGCTGCCTCTCAGTCCTATTGTCCCATGACTCTAATGAAGCCCAGCTGTAACCTTTGATAATAAAGCCATGCAGAAATGTAAAATAAAGACAGCCAACAGAAGACAAAAAAAAAAAAAAGAAAAAATGAACCTTGAACACAGATCCAGTGGCCTTTGCAATGGTTTAAAATTTTGGCTGCTTTTTGATCTGTGACAGGTCACAGGCATATATAGTGGCAGCAAAACATTGTTCCTACGCCCATTTCCCTTCATTTACCTTTTAACTTGTGAGGAAAAGCTACATGAAAGGCTAAATAATGTTATATAGTACTTCAGTTCCGAAGAAAATGTAGTTTGTATTGTTTCTTAAACCCAACTGGTAGCCATGTCTATGCTCTTTGTTATAAAGAGATATTCCTGAGAGCAAACAACAAATACCCAGAATGGAGATATATGATGCAGTAGCTACTCCGAGTCTGAGGCTCTTCAGCACTACACAGGGGCAATTTGTTACTCTCACAAGCAGAAAAGGAGATATCTGGGGAAAATCTCCTGTTGAGGACAGCTGTAAACATGACCTTGGATAGGGAAGGATGAACTGCAAAAGATACTATAAAGTACAACTGCTTTAAATTTGGTGGAAGGGGAGGCGAGGATAGGCAGTATTAATTTACAATCTAATATGGTGTGATGCATTGAAAAATATCAGTTATTATTCAAACTCTAAAGTCACAGTCCATAGTCAAGAGTTCCTACAAAAACCCAAACAAAACACAAAAATCATATAACCTTGGTCAGCTTTAGAAAATAACAGAGGCTTGCCCTGGTTAATGTAACACAAACCACTTTAAGAAAGCTGGCTCTTAAGTAATCTTCGATTTCTAAATTCTAGTGCAGTGGCTGGTTAACTGATGTGCTAGAACTGCAGACCTGCAAAACTCTAGCTTATGTCCTTGGCTGTGTTTGTTAAAACACAAGCATCTCAGAACCCAAAAAGCATTACTGCTGTCAGAAGTCACGTCACCTTTCTGACCCAGAACTGAAATTCTTGATTTCTACAGAGTAACTTAGCCTGTGCAGTGTTAAACTGTGAGCACACGAGCACTGATAGACTCACAGATTTCATTGTTTACATGAAAGAAATCATCATGATGAATCCTGTTTTCCTTGGTATGGCTAAGCTATTTCTTCTAGTAAGGTAGAAATGCTATAGTAGCCAAATCCTCCAGATAGAAGAGATTAATGAGGTTTATAACTGGGTGTCGTACAGCATTCTCCTTTTGCAGGAAATACGTAGAGTATCTGAAAGGCCAAGGCAGTTGAAGTACAGCTCGTCCTTTTCAGACCCTGATGCTATGCCCTTGACCATCAGTCACAAATTTAAGGACAAAATGAGGCTTTGTTAACTTCAGTCCATTTGGAACTACTTGTTCAGCTGCTGGACTCTCCTGCACTGTCACTGCACAAAGATTACATCTTTGGCTCTCTCTTCAGTATTAAATAATTCTGTATTTCACCCCACCACCTCCAATACCGAACTTGAACTTGATGGGCCATCCTCTGAATGTCTGCTGTCAGTCATCTATATAAAAGTTGAGATGGGCAAGTGGGAAACTTTCAGTATTGCATAGTTAGGTGTAAAGCAGAGGTACAAATGCCTAAATTAAGGACCTCAAAAATCACCACTTTGTTCTGAAAATGCTTTCTTTAGCTTGTGAACTAAGAATTAGCTCATGATTAGCATTAGCAGCCTGAAATGTATATAGCTATCATTGATATATACGTGGTAATAACTGGGTAGCAACTGTCTCTCAATGCAGAATAAAACTGTGGCATCAGTCACAAGGAAATAGAAACAGTATTTTTTCTTGCTCTCCTTTCCAGCACCTGAATCACTTGAAATCATGGGGATGAGGTGACATATACTTGGCTAAAGGCCTTTTAAGTGAGAGTGAAGGAGGAAGAGCAGATTAAAAGCCTTGATAAGTCTCTTGCCTCGGTCAGAACTTGCACATCACTTTGCTGTACTCCAGGTTGATCTTTACCAAACTTACGTTTGTACACAGAAACATTCTCATTCTGTTTGCTCGAGTTTATGAAGGTGAGGGCATAAATACCTGTATTCCTGTGTTTCCTTGGTACCTGACATCTGATATTGATTAACAGTTGTAGTGGTAACTGACCTTATTTTCTTTAGGAAAGGGTTAAAAAAAGAATGACAGTTTTTCTGAAAGTATGTTCATGTGTACTGCTTGTGGCAAATTCTATTTTAAAACACTTCTTTGCACACCCTCTGGCTACAGTGAAGCTGCCTAAATTATCTAAAAATAAAAGCTCATGTCCTGTCAGGCCCTGAATGCAATTTACTGTCTCTCAGGCTTGAAATAAGACCCTTCAGGTGTTTTTGTCTCCAATGATGGAAACGAAAGCGAAGCGCATGATGCTTCTGTAGGTATCACAACTCATTAAGTGCATTCACAGCAGCTGAATGTCAGCCTGCATGGGACTCCAGACACCAACCAAGCTGACACCACCACAGTGAGAGCTGCACACTGCAGGGAATTGCTGTGCAGTTATTTCATGGACACTAGTACCTATGGGCACTACTCTTCTGCCTTCAGAAGGTTTCACCAGTAAAACAAGAACATGTTCCGTGGCATTATTCAATATGCAAGCCTAATTGATACTACCCTGACACAAGTGCAGGATACTTAGAAGTCACTCTTACTGCAGAGGTGCAAAGAATTCTTTAACTTCTCTTCTTTACCAGCAGTTAATGTCTTACTGTTTAGCAGGACAGCATAGCTGAAAATTCAAATACATCAGTGGCTTATGTATGCATGAGCTTTACTCAGGTTATCACAGTATCACAGTAGGTTAGAGATTGGAAGGGACCTCAAAAGATCATCTAGTCCAATCCCCCTGCCGGAGCAGGAACACCTAGATAAGGTTACACAGGTTGGGGGTTGTGTTGGGGTTTTGGGGTGTTGTGTTGGGGTTTTTTGGTTTGTGTTTGTGTTTTGTTTTTGTTTTTGTTTGTGGGGTGGTTTGGTTTTTTTTTTTTTGGTTTTTTTTGGGTTGTTTTTTGGGGTGTTTTTTTTGTTGTGGTGTTTGGGTTGTTTTTTTGGGGGTGGTTTGTGGGTTGGGGTGGGGGGGGGTTTTTTTGGTGTTGGCCTTCTTGGCCACAAGGGCACAGTGTCGGCTCATGGTCACCCTGTCGTCCACCAGGACCCCCAGGTCCCTCTCCCCTACACTGCTCTCTAACAGGTCGTTCCCCAGCCTATACTGGAACCTGGGGTTGTTCCTGCCCAGATGCAGGACTCTACACTTTCCCTTGTTATATTTCATCAAGTTATTCCCCGCCCAGCTCTCCAGCCTGTCCAGGTCCTCTGGATGGCAGCACAGCCTTCTGGCGTGTCGGCCACCCCTCCCAGCTTAGTGTCATCAGCAAACTTGCTGATAGTACACTCAATTCCCTCATCTAAATCGTTAATGAATATATTAAATAATACTGGTCCCAGTACCGACCCTTGAGGCACTCCACTAGATACAGGCCTCCAACTAGACTCCGCCCCATAGACTACAACTCTCTGGCTTCTCTCCTTCAGCCAGTTCACAGTCCACCTCACTACCCGACATCCAGCCACACTTCCTCAATTTAGCCGCAAGGATGCTGTGGGAGACCGTGTCAAACGCTTTGCTGAAGTCGAGGTAGACCACATCCACCGCTCTACCATCATCCATCCACCGCGTTATTTCCTCATAAAAGGCTACAAGATTGGTCAAGCACGACTTCCCCTTGGTGAAGCCATGTTGACTGCCCCTCATAACCCTCTTATCCTTGATATGCCTTAAGATGGCACCAAGGATAAGTGTTCCATCACTTTCCCAGGAACGGAGGTGAGGCTAACCGGTCTATAGTTACCCGGGTCCTCCTTCTTGCCCTTTTTGAAGACAGGAGTGACATTTGCTTTCCTCCAGTCCTCAGGCACCTCTCCCGTTTCCCAAGACTTGGTAAAGATGATGGAGAGCGGTCTAGCAATGACCTCAGCCAGTTCCCTCAGCATGTTACTTTATCATCTGGAAAATGAACTTACTGGTAAATGCAGAAAGTGATATGAAATGCCATATTTATTAAACTAGAGACTGAAAATTTGAGAGCAAATGGGCCTATTGAAAACCGGATAGTCTTTGGTGCTCCTCATGGGAAAAATCAGCTGCCAGCCTGATGGCTGGAAAATAAGATTTGCTGAGAGCTCAGCTGGAAATTAAACAACCATTGAGAATAAAATATTTGCATAGCATCAGGGAATATGTCAATACAGCAATGCTACTGCAATAATATACTGAGTTAGTATGAATATTCTGTCTTCATTCATGCAGGCTTCAATTTTATCTGCCAATGCCTATGTTTCACTGGCTGAAGCCTTGCTGATCAAGAGGGCAGAAGTCACCTCGTGGTATCCACTTGGCAGTTCCTAGCTTGGCATAACTAAATCCAAAGCAGAGTACAAAACCTTAGGTCTCTGGAATTGCTTTTTAAATAGACAAGGCTTCTCAGCCTGAATAACACACAGCTGCTTCTCTTCCACAGCAACTGGCTCTAGCTCTCACAGAATTAAGGAATAAGTAGAAAGTAGCAACTACTGAGTCCTGAATTCTGTACTTCAATTCTTTCATATAGGGATTTTTCCCTGTTACACTGGCTCCCTTGTTCTTGATCAGTGTTTTCTTCTTATCTCCTATGTGCTTGATGATTAATTATAGAATACAACCAAGCAGATGACTGGAGATCAGGTAAGTGACGGGATGGCTTGCAGCAAATTGTCATCAGATGGAACCAAGAGTTTTCTCTTCTTCAGGCTGAAACTGAATTATTGCATTACAAGGACCCAGCAAAAGAAACTCTGCAACTGCCGTTTTAAGACTGTGATGGGGTCCCTCTACTGAATCTTGCAAATTCAGTAAAATAGCTTGTGGTACCCAGCAGTCTGTCCCATTTTTTTGCCAATGGTTGAGGGAAAATAAGATGCACAGGCAAATGTTAAATGCTGAAGCTTAAAACTTTTGACTGTTACAATAAAAAAATCCCACTTATCTATAATTACACTCTGCATATCACTATATACTTATCAGATACATATCCATAGATACACAGACTACACATTAATATGTAAGATGGATATAACTATCAACTGATGGTAGCTTATGCTGCTGTGCTACAAGAGATGAGCACTAGAGCTGATGCAATGCGTGCATGCTGCTCTTCCGAAGGGGCTGTTAACTTCCATCAAATAAAAGAAACAAGACAGTTTGCCAATAGTTATTCCTTAAACTACAGATGCTCACCAGCAGGAGCCTGAAATCAGTACATGTTTTTTCCCCTGACCCAAGAATAAGTAGAGATACAAATCTAAGTATTGCATTCTGTTTACAAAAAAATGTAATGTTTTCTTACAGAATATAAAAAATGGCCTAACATACAACACAGAAAGTAATGTTTTAAGTATTAGAAACATTTTAAAGCTATCATTAGATTCCTCAATTATTGACAAACCTGACTGTAAAGCAGGTGACATTTTGACATGTATTGACACTCACGTATTCAACAGTGGAGCCCAAACACATGACCCAGTAAACTGACCAGCTGTTTGCTCCTGAGTACACTAAATGTAAGCTTTCACTGAGATTTAAGTCTCATGTAGGTTACCTGGCATTTGAATTTGGTTACCACAACACAGCTGATGCATATGGATTTGTTCAGCTTAAATTCCTAAGCCTTCACTTTAGTTGTAACTTCATGGCATTTTTTTTTCTTAAAAAATCCCAAAACAATGAACGTACTGGTTTGTCTGTGGTTTGTAACAAGTAACTCTGAAACCTGTAAGCTTTGCATAAACTACACACACATACTGGTGTAAACATGAAAAGCTTTTTCTCCGCTCTTTCAGTCTCCTTTTGGAATAGAATGGAATGAAAAATTACAGGGCAAACTCAAACATCTGGGTTTAGTTTCTTAAGCAGAGCCCGCTAATTAAATGTAAGATAGTATTCTACACAATTAGCTTCTCCCCTGATCAGTTTGCTTATTCATGAAAACTGATACTTTCCCTGTTCGTCTGTAACTATGTGTCCTTTTAAAAAAAACCCAAAAAGCAGCACTGAAATTCCTTTTATGATAGCACTGATGCTACAATACTTAATGCTGGAAAGAGCTTTGAGCTGTTTCTAATAAACAGATGTTAAAATGGAGGAGTACTGTGCAGCTCTCCTGTTGCACATTAACTTGGTGACAGACGGATGAACATGGCATGGTGTGCACAGCATGTCACCCTTGGCACCTTGAGCCTGTATAATTGGTAAGGGAAAGCCTGTTGCGATGCATGAGCACTCAAGAATATGAAGATATAAAAGACCATGTGTCTTGACATGTGACCTGTTAACTTCAGTTAACAGGAACGATGCAGCTAATGAGAGCTGGCGTTTGGAAATGTATCGCTAAAAGCACCTTGGTCTGTCCCAGCCCAGGCAGCTTGAAGAGGAAGCTGAACCAAATAGCGTAACTACTGCTGCAAGCGCTGATTGCTCCTTTCCTGATATAAACCAATAAGTAAGTACAGACTATTCAGGGTAATTTTTCATGATGGTGAGCTAGGGAGCTTCCACAGTGGTGTCTGAGGAATTGCTTTGTCTGATCAGCACCTTGTATGCTCATGCAACGATCCTGCTTCAGCCACACAGAGCTGGCCATGCTTTTACCCCAAATAACAGCAACTTAAACAAGGGTGCTTGCAGCTCTTGCTAAGTAAGACATCACCTGCCTTCCAAGCTGACTCCAAGACATGAACAGATGCCGCCACTGCCAGTCTCCTCAGAGAATAAAATGTCCCACATCCCCTAGTGCTGCTTTCAACTCAGGGCACACAACCTCATCAGCTTGTGCAGGGTTTGCACACAGATGTGTTCATGAGGGCACTGGCTGTGACCTGCACATGGAGCGTGCAGCAGCAGCTGTAAGTGAAGGAGCTTGCGCCCTCCCAAGGGAGCCCCCTCTGTCCAGCACTTTCATAGAGCAGGCACCAGCATAAAATCAGTCTGGAAAACCTTGCAGCTAAGAGGGAGATGACCAAACACAAATCACGTGGCTACCAGCAGCTGGCATTAGCCAGGGAAAAGCATTCTAACTGACTGCAACTTCTGTGTCATCACACAAGACTTAAGGAAGAGCTCAACTGGGAAGTGGAGACAATTAGAAAAAAGAGGAAAGCAAGCAAGAGACAGGTAATTTGGCAACTGCTGTGCTCTGCAGGCTGCCTTGCAAAACCCCGGAAGCCTGCACTGTGGTGTGTCTGAGCTCAGAGACACTACCCACTATTCTAAGAAAAACCCTCACTGAAGCACAGCCTATTTGCTGTTACTCCTGCTGAACAAGGCAAGGTTCCCTTGAGCAGCTCACTCCTCACACACCCTGCCCCTCTACACGCTGTTCACAAATGAGGGAATGCTCACCCCTGACAGAGCAAACCTTTGCTGCAATGGATAAATGCAATAATTTAGCACCCAGACAAATTATTTTGGGATTTCTGCACTGTATGGAGGCTGACACATCCCACAGACAAAGGGATGTGTGCTATAAATGCACCAGTTTTCTGTCTCGGGAGTCTGTGTCTTCACTTAGTGCAGTGATCTCAGGGTTGAACTGTAGGGTCATCCAAAGAGATCTACCACTGAACCAAAATGTTTAGTTCTTGACAGCCTTAGTTGGCAATGGCAGCAAGACTGGTGTCTGGAGCAGTATCTCTACTTATATATAGGAAGGAGCATTTTTTCCTCAACTGCCTAATGGCAATGAACTAACAATGGCAAGCAGCATTACGCACACTTCTTCAGCTGACAGTAAATAACCAAGCATGCCCAATTTTCTAAACTCAGGACCAGTTCCTTAGTTGTTTGGGTAAAATTCTTCAGCTGAGTCCCTCCTCTCTGCTATACAAATTTTACATTCAGTTACATAGCCACAAAACAGGGCTGTTGGAAGGAGTCACCACTTACAATGAAAACCACATCAATATGACTAATCACATCAGCTCTCTTACATATTGGGAGTCTAATGGCTTCCTTTTATAGCCTTTAAATAAACCAGCTTCTCTACATGTCTTTCACTAAGGAATAGAACTTATTCCCATTTTTTGAAGAAGCAGCTTTAATACCCACCTGATGCTTCAAAGCCATGAGGCAGAACTTACAATCACAGTTAGCAGAACACATTTGCATGCTGCCCAGTTAGTCTGGGAAAGCTCAAGTGCAGTTTTTCAGATCCCATAAAGACTAAAAAAAAACCTCCAAAGTTATATTTCTTAATAGAACTATGCCTTTTTTTTTTTTGTGTACTCTGACCCACTATCAACAAGGGTGAAAAAGTGCTTCTGCTGTAATAGGTTTATTGTACTTGTACAGGCATGACTGGTCTGTGGAAGGAGGTAGGACATTTCTTTTTACAACTCTATGAAACAGCATGTCTTCAATGACTGGGAGGTTTTTTCCCAGGGGTTTATACTGTGAGGGTACTTTCCTGCATGGTTGCTGCTCATACTAAATGTGCCACTCATTCCAGTGGTTAATAGACTATCTTTCCATCTTCTGGAATCCTTCTACAGATCATCTACTGGAGGATGGATTCACATGACTAAGTATCTGACTTGTTTTGATCTCTTGGTCAGCCTGAGAACCTGTTTCACACTTTCCCATTGATCCCAAAGAGCAAGATGTTACCACATGTGATGCCACTAGTCCAACTGCCACTCACTGCAGTAGAACCCCTCAAGAAAACCTCAGCAATCACCAATGGCCATGGGAGCTCAGCTACAGTAGCTATCTGACCTGGCTGTGACACGCAAATTGGAAGTCCAGTTCCTTAGAGCTGGTGGTACACGGTAATTTGAGTCATAGCGATGTCTACTGAGCTTGTGCACTGAAGCAGTTCCAGGCTCAGGCCCTTGAACCAACCTGAATCTTTAGAGCTCGTGTATTTTCCTGCTCTGTCTGTTGACAAGCAATCCTAAGAATCTGCCACTAGTAGGCAAAAATAGAAACAGGACAGGAAAAGCTATGGACCTCAAAAGTGTTTCTGGAATTTCAGTGCGGACAAATCTCTCATGATGAGCTTATGAAAGAGCTACCCTTGAAAGTACCATGGAGAGCTTCTGGGAAAAAAATCCTGCAGTCACAAAGCCCACTGCAGTAATTAAAAATTACTGTGTAGAGCACGGTGATGGTAATGTGAGAAGCTCATGATCTATCAGAACTGGAGTAAGCTGGTAAATGCCCAAAACAGTGAAGAAAAGAGTCAGTTCAGAGAAGGCTTTGAGATTGGAGTACTATTCTCAGCACAATTTATAAAGCAGAAAGCTTTCCCCTTCATGGGTCTGTAACAACACTGACAGATTTCGAGAGGCTCCAGCTGTAGAGAACATAACCTTGGCCTGGCACAGCACACAAGAGAAAACCTCAGGGCATGTGATGGTAGATTACATGAGAGCTGTGTCTCTCCAGTCAATGGCCAATTCAGTGGAGGCATATGTCTCCCTTCGTTACATGCTGTAGGAAATACAAATTAGCGCCAGAGCTGCTGGTCTCTGAGCCACATGAAAAGAGCTCAAGCTTAAGTCTAGGAAATTAATAGCCAGAAGAGATGCCACACTGGGTCATGCAGTTCTGCCTTTGATGGTGGCCAGTTGTAGCTGTTTAAGGAAAAAGAATAGGAAATAAAGACCGGAAGAAATATCCTAATTTAGATATGAATAGACCGAGTTGCTTCATTTTCACTGTGAAATAAGACAGAGTACAGCATCCCAGGTTGTGACACGGGGGTGGGGATGGTTAAAAATACTTCAGGCTGGTGAACTGTAAGGTTTCCTTTGATGTAAATTAGTTTCCCTCTATGCACAGGCCATATGCAACTCAGTCCAGAAGACTCTATGCAAAAATGGAGGGTAGAGAGAAATTCTGTCAGCCCTTCATTACTCCACAGTAAATTTGTGAATGTGGGGAGGAGAGAGTTACAAAGCATCAAGCATCCCTATACTCTGTGGATGTACACAGCACTGGGGATAAACAGAAAACCTGTGTGGGGTATGAATTTTTTTTTTCATTTTTATTATATATTTATTCTCTTTATTTATGTTAGATTCAATTTTAGGACTCTCAGCAGTTGTATCCTAAAACAATTGCAGCATTTCCCACTTTTCTACCCTGAGGAAGGACTTTTTCTCCAAGAAACTTATTTTCTAGGTTCTCCTTGGCTTTTGTCCTGCTAGTGCAGGTACTGAGGGGATAAGCTGGGATAGCCCTGAGTGCACTGCCAGCCCTGACTGTCCTGCCTGCCCTCTGGAGCTCCCCCCACCTTGCCCAAGTCAGCCCTCTGAGGCCGTAAGTCCTGCCCAGCAGTGATATCAAGGCATGCCAAGCGAGGCAGCAGGGAACCACTATTCTCAGTGGATGAAGGATGCCCAGGGACAGGCTGCCATCCCACCACACATGTGACAAACGCAGTTTTTCATTTTCCTGATGCACTGGTTATCAGATTTTTTGATCATTTTAAAAAAAGAAAGAGAAGAAAAGCAGGTCTCCAATATCACCTTGTGTGGAGGCTGACTTGAAATGAAAAGTAATAAGAATCAAATAAAGTAACTCTAGCCCTTATGATATCCATCCTGAGCTAATGATAGCTTATTTTCTTGATACTCCAGTACTGTGACCACACTCCCTCCTCCAGATAAGATCAACAGAGTTTCATAAGAAATGACAACTCACCTTTCTTGAACTGCTATTGCTGTTAGCATTAGGGAGAGGAGATAATTTTCTGTTTGAGATGAAAGGCAGAGAGTTGAACGAAGGTTTCTTACCGTTAAGGACAATGCCATGCAAACAAAAGTGAACTTCTTGATATGTGTTGCTGTGACAGTACTGTTGGTGTTCACCAATTTATTGCTGGGGTTATTCTAGGGTAAGAGAAAGAGATAATGAGCATTAGCTTGGCTCCAGACTGCTGTGAGGCTGATGGCACCAGGGCCATGTGCTGGACCTGTCTGTGCCTGTGCATGCCTGCCTTTGTTTGCTTTTTAACCTAGAGCTTTCTGAGTACTTTGTACCACTAAGGCATATTTTCTGCTTAAGCTGACAGCAACTGCTCCTATAGTCACAGAGGGCTGAGTAATGTCCCTACTTTTCTAAGGAATAAGTCCTATTTAACAAATTCAGCTTTGAAAAAGGGTAGTAGCTCTTTCTGAGGAAACTCCACATGATTTTCTTTTTTACCTTAAAGTTTGTAACATGCTTTCCCAGGAAAAATAGGATTTCATTCCCTTTTACCAGAGAGCAGTATCAAACCCATACACCAATGAAAGCACCCTTACTGATTCAATTAGGCAAGCAGGTAATACAAACAAAGCTCCTGGAACAGCTGGCTCCATTAATGCCATTTAATGAACAGAACATAGCTAGGACTATTAGGTGTTCCACCTTGAACATGGGCTCTGTACTCACATGGCAGTGTTTTATTTAAAACAACAAAAGCCGTCTTCCAAATGCCTAATATTGCAAATGAAGCTGAAGATTTAAAATTGCCCTCAGGGAACACACATAAAAACAAACTAAATGGTCTGTGAAAGGAGAGGATGGGGTATCAAAAGCAGGGCACCATTAGGATCCCTGTAGTAATAATCTGCATTCTCCCTGGAGCTGTTTGAGATACACAAGTATGTGCCCAAGCTGATAAAACCTGTACCATGAGATGCAGTACAACATTTATTCATCCTTGACGCAGCTCAGGTAGAACAGCAGTATCTGTCACATGATCAGCCTCCTTTACTGAAATTACTTGTAAGAGAAAGAGGAGCTCATGCCAACACATCTTGGGAGTGGACAAACCAAACGTGAGCTCTGTGAAGGGTATGCCATTTCACGCACATTCTAGAAGCTGATGGAATTGTGCAATTTAAAGCTTTTGTGGTGACCACAATCCTGTCACCCAAAGGGGTTGCGAAGAAAAGGGGGTCTTGTTCATTCCTAACCTGCTGCTGCTAACTCTGCTCTTGCTCTGATCCACCCATTGCTCCAACTCTTGACCACATACTCTTTGTTCCTCTCTCTTGCACACTGTTTAGCACTTGGATCAAAACACTATGCAGATTATGGCGCAAAAAGAGTATCCATTCCCATCTATTAAATGTTTGTAAGTCCTCTCTCAGCAAGTGGTGTTGCTCTGAATCAGACAGCATGGTCTATTAAGAGTAATGGCATTATCACCATGTAAAACAGCAATCAGAGCACAGAAATAGGATATTCCTGTTTTCTTTTAGAAAATCAATATTAAGCCTTAACGTGAGTGTACCTGCTAAGCCATGAGGTTGCTCTGGATACAGAGTCTCACAAAAGGCTGAAACAGGACCCTGAAACTCTCTTATGAATGTGAACAGAGGTAACGATTTTCCTGTGAAGATTAAGAATCTGACTTCGCCAGTAGAGCCACTGAAGAGGGGCATGCTATCAGTCTGTTGAGGCAATGCAGTGTGCTTCCAATGGCCATCAGCCTTGCCAGCTTTCTGAGTAACTGACGAAAGAAAATGGGAGTTTGATGCATGCAAACTGTTTCAACACCTGAAAGTCACAGTAAAGAAGGCTTTACAGAGCCTGGAAATAAAAAGTGCTTCTACCTGGACTCTTCTGAGAAAGCCTCAGCTTAAGGAAATAAAGGTTTTGAAAGGCATGGTGACATGAGAATGACGTGTGACCGAGGGTAAAGCAATTCTCACAGCGATCTAAAAAACCCACTGTGGTTTCTGGTTTGGTATTTATTGTCTGAAAGGTACGGTGGAGGCATTTGCACACATGGCTGCCAGAATGAGATACCCTTTATACTGCTGCTACCTCACTTAGCACATTTTTATGCCAATTTGCTCTTAAAACATATAATCCCCATCGTGTATTTTTTTGGCAGTTAGATAAACGGTATCTACTTGTGCCTCACTCCAGCTTTTCCTTCCTCACGTTTGTTCCACAAGAGCACGATGAGAAGCCTTTTAACTGAAATAAACAGACAAATCACGGTCTAGTCCTGACACCACTAAAGCTGTCAGCACATCTTCCACCAGCTAAATGAAACCTGAATTTAGGAGTCTTAATTGCTGTTAATTTTACTTGGGAATAGTGCATTTGATTGTGGCTCATAACGGATGAGGTTAGCAGCCCCTGTGTTTCCTGTCACAAACCACTTTTATCTTGCAATTCATTGGTTTTGAATCTGCAGTTCCTTTTCAGCAACATGACCTGGCTGCATGTTGTATTTTATCTCATAGGTCAATTTAGCTGTACACAAGCAGACTAAGAAGCAATGACTGATTTGATTTTCCTTTGGTTTACTTTTAAATTCTTGGAAATATGGTGGATGATTTCAAACAGGGCTTGTTTCAGCTAAGTACATCTGGAGCACCCAAACGTTTTCTTCATCAGTATTTGGAGCTAGAAAGTTCAGTTACTAATTGGTAAATAAAGGGAAGGAGAGGATTTGGCATTTGAATTAAGTGTCACGGGACATGACTGCTCCTTGCACAACATACGGGCTTGTGAATGCCAGTTCTAAAGCAGAGCAAAAAAAGACCCTAAACAAAATTCATTTTGATTATGTATTTACTTTGTGCTCAGTTCCAGGAGCAATCCCTGTATCCTCACATAATTACATGATCAGTACTACTAAAATAATGCTTGTTACCTGTGTTACTGTCAAGTCTATGAAACAACCTTTGCTAAATGTTAACATAACCGAATTAACCTAAACCCACTTGAGAGATACCACAGAATCGGGAGCAGAGATGAGAGCTTGCTTACTTACTGATGGGCACTTTGTGATAAGTCACTTCATTAGCTAATCAGCTACATCATAGTATGCAAGTGAGGACTTTTTTTAATCCTTAAAAACACAGCACCTATGTAGTCAAAAGATAGTTTCAATACCTTCTAACACAGAGCTAAGGTTAAAATCATACGTCAGACAAGAGCTTGAAGCCACCTAAACCAATATTTTAACTAGGCTTTTTAAACCTTATCAGTGGGACAAGGAACAATAGGTATCAAAAGCAAAAGTAAAGAGAAACCAGACAAGACAATAGATGTCCATTAACACAGCCCTGGTTAATCTTTGGTTGGTTTATTTTTTGAATAATCTGTTACACTTTGCTATGGAGCCATGAACTAACTTTCTTAATATTTGTTTGGCAGAAATCCCTCTGACATCACTGAAGACACCCTTAGATAAAAATGTTGTAACATGGAAAGAGGAGGACCACGCATGCAAAACCACACAAGAGGTATTTATTACACCCCTAGCATAGGCACTCACCTTGTCAAAAGCAGGGTATACTGCTCTGATCTCTGTCAGCCAGCCGTAAGGCATGTGTCCCACAGGATACGTAGCTGTTAGGATTGCCACCGCCTTTGAAAAGAGACAGGGCAACATGAACACCCAGTCTTTGACAGAACAATTAAACTAACACAGGTTGCCACTTCCTACCAAGATCATCACCAAATTGACCTTGATACAGTGAGAAACCATGCAGATGACTGGAAGCTCTTTGTTTCAGGAAGACTGTCCCAGTGGCCACATTTGGCCTGGTATTTGAAGCTTATGAACACTTTTGTGCCATGAAGCTACGGTACTCAGCTTTGTCGTTTCACCATCACTCTGATACTTTGGGATTACAGGTAAGTTGAATTGGTATGTGCCCCTCAGCCGGCTAAATACACCTCTCTCACTGCACCCGAGTTATTTTACCTACAGATGTCAGAGTAGCAGAATGCCTTACATTGCTTCGGAAGCTTCGGAGGCTTTGGATCAAACGTCTTAATTTTAATTTATATATATTCAACTTGGCTATTTATAAGTAAAACCAGGTTTAAGACAGACAGACTACAGAACAGTAGGCCTCGGTGACTGTCTCTGGACATCAAACTGCTCTAGGGCAAGAGACAAAAAAAACTACCCTCTCCTCATTTTGGTGCTCATCAACAAGAACAAAACAAAAATCATTCCAGATGTCCATTTTTATCATGAGAAACATTGTCTGCAATTTCAAACAAGTCCCTTTTTTGCTTTCACAGCTACAGACCAAGAGGTACATCAAAGACACACCCCACACCAATCCCCATATTAGGTGTTTAGGGAGCTCTTCCTGCATATGTTTTTACACATGTAAAAAGCATTACACTTTATAGAATCACAGAATCATAGAATAGTTAGGGTTGGAAAGGACCTTAAGATCATCAAGTTCCAACCCCTCTGCCATGGGCAGGGACACCTCACTCTAAACCATATCACCCAAGGCTTCATCTAACATGGCCTTGAACACTGCCAGGGACGGAGCATTCACAACCTCCCTGGGCAGCCCATTCCAGTGCCTCACCACCCTAACAGTAAAGAACTGCTTCCTTATATCCAATCTAAACTTTCTCTATTTAAGTTTTAACCCATTACCCCTTGTCCTATCACTACAGCCCCTAGTGAAGAGTCCCTCTCCAGTATCCTTGTAGGCCCCCTTTGAATACTGGAAGGATTCCTAAATTCTGTCTCCACAGCTGTTTATTTGCAGGTGCTGGCAACTTCTGAGCGAGTGAAACACACAGTATCAGGTATGACAAGTTAGCAGTGCTGACAGAATGTTTGTTAGGCATCAGCTGTTTGAATTTTCCTTTCCATTTAGTATCTTACAGCTTTGTCTTTCCTGTAGAAAACCTGACAGCAAAGGTCCTCCCACTTCTTACGAGAATAGGTCAGCTCACGGTGATCATTGGTGAAGGCTCTGCACTACAGTCAGAAGCCTGGCTCCCATCATCTGCAGGAGACTATTGGAGTGATCTGAAATTCCTCAAGAGAAGCAGGGTGCATTTCATATCCCAGCCAGGAGAGGTATTTTTTTCAGTGTGCTTCAAGACTGTTTCAAGCTTCAAGGATAGAGAGCACTAAAAAGAAATGTACTTAAGACAATTTTTTGCTTGCCGGCATGGCTGGGAAGAGAAATGCCAAGGTAACTCCATGTAACTGATCGTTTGCAGTAACGGAGAGCACTTTTCTTACCTCTGTGGCTGCAGAACTGCCACCTAGGTCCCGGGAAACAAAAAGGTTGACAATGGGCCTACTTATTCGCTGAGTTGCCAAAATTAATGCCAAAGGCCACCAGAAACTCAGCATCTTCCTTATTGTAGCCTCTCCCTGCAACACATAGGAAAAAATAAATAAGCAGAAGTGGGTTTGAAAAAAATCATGCAGAACTGAACCAAAAGCACAGAGAAAGGATTTTTGCTTTCACTACCCATTGTCAGTTTGGTACATTCATTTCAACAGTTTTCATGATGAGCCTAAAATATTTTCACTCATGTTAGTAATACTGATTCAAAAGAAGCTGTGCCATGGATCTGAATAAATAATGCATAAGGTCCCTATCTGCATAATTTGTTCTGGCTACCAGAGAAAGATGTGAAAACCAATATGACATTTGAGGAAAAAGAGGAATTTTGAGACTTTCTTCCCTCTGAAATAAGGGAAGTTCATGCTGTACTGTTAATGCTGTACTGGCTTACAGCTCAGTATAGAGATGTTCAGCAGGCAGCATGTCCATACCATGGGAAGCATTGCCTCATGTGCACTGTCTGGGACAGTTTTCACCATGTCTCTCTAAGTGAAAATGTTTTTACTATGCAGGATGGAGAGAGGAGGCCCTTCAGGCACAGTGGTTTTAATACAGTATTATAACACAAAGCACAAGTTTTAGATTATTCAAAAAAGTGCAAAGTACTGAGACATACCCCCATTTCAGGCCCACTTCTGTCAGGAATGACGTTATGTATGTTCCTGTAGTATCCGAGGCATAACGTGGTACATCGGACAAGTGCTCCCATGTATAAGGACAAGATGGGGATCAAGAGAGGCTCCCTGCACTCCAAGTGACTGTGAAGCAAAATGGCTACAAAAACAACCTGCAGGGCAAACAAATAAATGATTAGTAATCTGTCTGTGTGTTTCTCTAGGGCCAGCATTACCTCTTGTCTGACTCCCAGATACTCCAGTATCTATCTGGCTTTGAGCTTATGGCATTTGAAACTTTAGTCAGGACCCCCCTGCATTTGGTCATACAATTAGAAGAACAATAGTTAACATCATACGGAAGCTCTATTAAACCCTACTTGAAGGTATGGGTAGGTGTCAGACTAGGAGCCATAAATAGGTTAGCATGAAAGTCTGGCAAGGTCTATCAGGAACCATGTGGCTGTCACGCTTCCCAGGAGAATGTGCTATTCTGAAATACACTGAGGCTGGAGACATGCTTCTAGTGTCAGCTTGTAAGCATTACTGGTTTTTTTTGCAGGGTGTGGGGCAGTGGAAATTAAAAAGTTGGCTATTTTAAAGTATTCATTACAGCATTTAGAAGAAAGAAGTCTTACGTCACACTACGTTTCTACTTTTTTGAGTGAGATTTCAGTATTTCATCATTCTCTTTGCAGCTACCTGAGCACACTGATGTAAATGAAATGGAAACTTTTGATCTAATGAACAGCTCATAATTCAGTCTCCTAAGATTAAATTTCCAGTCCAAAAAACGTAAAGGAATTAATATGACATTATTCTCTTCATTAAGTACAGAGCTGATGGTGTGCCTGTTGAATTCCAGATGTCTCTGGATTGGGGGCACAACTGGAAAGCCAACTGTGTTTGGTGAACAGCAGAATCAAGGACAACCCTGCTGTGACATGCTGGCATGCCAGTGAGTTACAAGTACAAAACATTCTTCAGAAGCAGGTTCTCTCTCCTTCATTGCTAAAGCTCAAGAAATACTTAAGAAAAATCACACCGTGCAAGTGTTTATTATTTCAGCAGCAAAGGCAGCCACAAAAAGTGTGCATGTAGTGAGCCAAAGAGAACTAGCTACTGCCTGCGCATCTATTGCTTGTGTAAGGACAGCATGTAGGTGTAGGGAGTTCTGGGGTATGGAGAGTCGCAACTTCTTGTCTTCTGGATTTGCTCTTGCTCTGTGCAACATTTCGTTAAGCAAAGATGACAGGTGTCTTATTCTGCACAGTCCTGGCACCCCACTCACCAGCCACTGTTGAAAGGGCATGTATGCCATGGCTAAAGTAAGAATTGGTTTCTGTTTTTAGCTGTATATGACCTGACATGCATCTAGGGTCAGCAAACTTTGCATGGTCACATCAGAACAAGAGCATATCCTGAGGGCTAAGGTCATGTGCAGTAATTAGTATTGTCTTCACGGATTTAGTCCAGTATTGTAGAGGGGCAGACATGCAAAACATGGAACAGCAGCTGACTGAATGGTTCAACCTGGTTTATGGTTTGCTCATATTTAGTGGGAGGAAAATGCTATGGAAAATTGAACTAAGTGCTGTTGACTTCGTGTTTCCTTTGATGCTGTACTGTTATTAGCCTCTTTCTTACCCAGTCATTACACCATTAAGCTGGTAATGGGATAGTACAGCAACTGTTTTACAGGTGCTGGGACTCTCCATTTAGTAATATTTTTATATATGCTTTAAAAAGAGGGTGGTGTATTGGTTCTCAACTGCTTCAACACTGCCCAGCAGCAATGTGTATGAATGTTGTTTTTAAGTGTATCTAGTACAAAGCAACAAGATAATTAATACCTCTCCTACAAATAAAAGCTAAAGCAACATTTGGTGTTCTCTGCATCACCCAGGATCTATCAGCACAGTCTCTTCTGCTGCAGTTCTGAGCCTTCACCTTTTGGACCATTAGCAAGAACAGGGCCATAGTGGCACTTGGAAGATGGCTTACACTACTGTATTTCACTGGATCAGACAGCATGGGCAAAACTGACAAGCAAACTGGAGAATCAAGCCTTCATTCACCTCCCTATCTACAAGCCCCACTCAGGACTTCAGTGCAACTGTGTGATGCATGTCACACATGAGAATGCATAACATGTTTCTGCCATTCTGAAACATGGTTGTGGAGGTGCTGTAAGACATAGCCCTAGCCCAAAGGATCCTGGTTCCCATCTCCTGACATCGGATTGGGACTGAGCTGATCCAGTCAAGTGAGACCAGCCTAAACCACAGCTGTCAGTAAACAGCCTCCACATGATGAGCAAGCAGTCAGAGAACAAACCACAAGATTACTTCCTCTGGCTTGTTGTTCACGATAGAGAAAGAAGGCAGTCTCTGTGCAAGGGAGTCTGTAGTCGGTAATGCAACAGAAACAGTGACTGCTAAGTGGAGTCATTACCTGAGCTATGACATCTGAGATGGAGGCACATCCCACCAGGAAACTGTACTTGTGTTTCAGCAGAATCCCAGCATGGGTCCATGCCTAAAAAAACACAGAGGAGAGTTTGGGAAATGATATGATATTTGTGAATGATTTCAGGTCCCAGAATACTGTTTTCTGGTTGTTACATTGTACACAAAGGAGTTATATATTTTCTACCAGCGGTATTTGCTGTGAACCTGGGCAAATGTTAGGCTAGTAATACAGAGAAAGCACTGCTGCATTCACTTCCTTATAGCCAGGGCTGACAGGGAGAACAGGAGTAACTTTATAGACTTCATAGAGATTTCTCAGCAGATCTAATAAGAAACTGCTCCTTATTCATAAAACGGGTGCTGCCCAGGATGGCTTATCATAATAAATAACTGAAGGGAAAAAATATTATCATTCACCAGCTGGATGCACCTCTGAAGTGTAATCCTCATTGGCCCACTGAGTTATACTGAGTCCTGTGTGTCTGTATATATATATATATATATATATATATATATATGAAGAAAAAACTTAATGATCCAACTTCTTATGGTCAGAGACTGTTTCAAGCAGACAAAATGGTCGAGGTGTGCTGTGAGAAGGCTGTCCTTTACCAGTTTTACACAGAAGTAGAGGCATTAAAGACACTTGCTGTATTTCTATGTTGTGCAGGCCACAAGTAGTAAGCCTGGTGATCTAGAAAGCAGCGGCCCACCCCACATGTGGGTGCTCTTTCTCAAGCATTCAAGATAGACCGGACTTAGCTGTGCTTGTAAATATGATGATAAGAAATACATTTCCAACAAGTGCGCTTTGAGAAAATACTGAGCTTATTCCCTGTGAGCTCTGCAAGTGCTTTCCAGCATGCACATACAGTAACTCTAACAGGACAACTGAGGTTTTTACTTTTGTTATGAGCTCTGTATGCCCAACCAGATGCTTCTTCCAGGTAGCAGGGGACAATGTGTCCGGGTATATCCAGAGCTACTGCTTGCAAAGGGCACACCTTCCTTCTGCCCACCTGCAGCTTCCCACCAGGTAACAGACTTCATGAACCAAGGTCACCAAAGGAAAAATAACCTGAATATTAAAATTCAGCTCTGTATCAGGCACTTACCATGGCATCCATAAAAGGGAAGGCAGCAAGATAAAGGAAGGCTCTCCGAGTTTTACTTCCCACCGATTCATCCACATGGTGCAGCTTATTAATAATGTAATACCCCAAATCACTATATGCTGTAGAGACACAAGAAGAGAAATGAATAATAAAGGTTACATATGGGCTCTGGGTGAGCTACTCAGAAGTACCTGAAAGGCTGTGATGCCTAGGACATGCATCTACTCAGTAAACAGCTGCAGGGGCTTCAGGGTGTTACAGTCTCACCAGCTGCTGTTTATGACTAAGGAGTACTCTCATGGTTCTTTTTCAAGTAACCTTTGGCAGAAGAGTGGTAACAAATGGCTGTGTTGGGACCCGGGCATATTAAGTGCCACATCTGTTTGCTAAAGGAACACACTGGTACTCCAGAAAATCTACTGGCCTTTCATTAACTCAAGGCTCTTTGTTAGAAAAGCTGTTTTCACTAGACATTGTGTATTTCATGGGATGTAGTAACTTATAAATACCAACATTATCTATTGGCACTGCATTCATATGACGTTACCTGTAAACCTGCCCAAAGCTGTAAAAGAATACTATGAATTGTAAAAGGACGCAAAAATCACACTCATTAAGCCTCTCTCTTACTCTGCCTAATGACCACCTCTGCTGGGACCTGTCAGGGCACTGCACCCTTCACTGTACAGTCTCTGGGCAGCCCTGACCAGCCTTAGTTTCCTTCCTTATCTACAGCCCACATCTCAGAAGCCACAGTCAGAAGAGGGAACCACTGGAAGTCAGGGGGTTGCCACTTCCGACTGCCAGTATGTTATTTCAGTGTTCTGTTTCAACCCAAGACAAGAATTTTTACTGTTGGGCAACACATCTCTTGCCAGGTCTCTCTTCCCAAGGCATTGGGTTAGACAGTGCAGATGCAAGGATTCACCACACAGCTCTCTGAAGAACTCCTCATACCTCTATTGGTACCCATGTTATCCAGCTGTTTTATTGACCCCGGAGTCCTCACAGTGACCAGGAATAATGAAGAGCTAGCTATGACTGCAGTCTCTGAACTATGGGAACTTATATGCACAGTTAAAAATAATCCAAATAAGTTTTTAATCTTTTATAAACTATATTCTAGATCTGCATATGGTTACCTAATTTCCTCTATACACTTGCAACAGCTATTGAAAGAGTGATTAGTTTTATAAAGTCAACATTCCAACACAAGTAATGCCAGAATTACCTGTGAATAGGGAACCTTATTTCAATTCTCTCCCACTAGTGTCTTTTCTAATGATTTCAAATATTGACATCTATCTGATTTTACATCTATAACAATTCTATTATCATTGTGCAGACCTTCATACATGGTATTTCAGGAAAGTTATCATTTTCATGCATGCAGGTCACATGATCAGATTGACAAATACTAACATTAGTTGCCCAATTCAATATTTTTAGCCTAGAACTCTCTCTTGTAACTCACAAACAGGTGTTTGGAAGCAATTAAAGAGGAGTTTAAATCCTCATTGTTTTGTGATGGCGTGTGATTGTGATTAGCAATATGGCAGGTAAATGGTTAACAGGACTGAAAAGAGTTTTTCATTCCAAACAAGACAGTGTAAACAAGGTAGTAAAATAGAAGGAGGTGGTTTGACAGCATTTGGAACAGGCATGAGCCTCATTCCAGATATCCAGGACCGCCCAAAAGATGCTAAAATGTTAAAAAATCCACCTTTCCCTATGCTGGTCCCTATCTACATGTCTTTTATCCGAACTATGACTGCTAGACTCGCAGTCTCCCAATCACCCAGAAATCTCCAAGTTGCTTAGCCATACTCCTGAAGCACTCCAAGCCTTGTTTCCTTCCAAATGGGGTTGGGGAAGAACTCTAAACCAGGACTCCAACCTTTCCTCAGTTCAAGGAGGCCAGTTTAGTTCTCAAAGTGTTGATGTGCTTGTTACAGTCCAGCCACACATCAAGAACAGCCCCTTTTTATTTTTTGCATGGATAACCATACACTGATTTTTGCTCAGTATTTTGAAAACTCTCATTATTGTGTGGTAACTCCCTGTGTAAAGCTGCTTTTCTGGCACGGCAGTACATGAATGTTTCAGAATTGACTTATTTGAATGAAGACGTTTGGAAGGCTGCTGTGAGGGTCAGACTCATCCATCTAATTCTCAGGTTCTATTGAAGTTGCTTCATACTTCTCCTGCACAAAAGCTTAAAAACTGCTGCAGGAAACAGAATCAGAAGGGTCAGAGGCTGAACTACTCTCACTTCTAGGAACAGGCAGTTCACCAGAGGGTTGTAGTTTATTGGCAGAGCGCTCTCAAGGGACTTGTACCACCACAGCCCACAGCACCACAAGAGATATCAGCACTGTGCTCTGTAAGAATCATAGAATCCTAAATGGTTTTGGTTGGAAGGCACCTTAAAGACCATCCAGTTCCAACCCCCTGCTACAGGCAGGGACACCTTCCACTAGACCAGGTTCCTCAAGGCCCCGTCTAACCTGGCCTTGAACATTGCCAGGGATGGAGAATTCACAACTTCCTTGGACAGCCTGTTCCAGTGCCTCACCTGCTTTAAGATTCTTTTTTCGCTCTCCCATCCAGAGAAGAAAACCCAAACAACTCCCCCCAAAACTCTTAACTGTACTTTTTAATGTGATTTGGTTTTAAAATTGTATTGGGAAAGCTTAATAGCTAGTTTTAAAATGGCCAGCTGTTCCACATGGCAGTGAAAGCACATGATCACTTTTGCTGATGTCCAGAAATATTTCTATCCTCAGAAAGAAGGACTCAGCAAATGAGATTTACTGACAAATATACAGGCATGCATCTCAGAGCTGTGAATAAAGCAATTGTTGATGCAATTAGAATTTAACCTTGGCCAACCTCACAAACTTATTATGAAGTACAAAATTAATAACACAGACAACAGAGCTGAAGAGTATTGCATGAATCTAAAGCAGATGGCTCTTCCCATTCCTTGCATAATTTCAACCAAAATAGAGTAGTCCAACCCCAAGACAAGCTGCCTGTTTGCAGTTTTCTAATACCTTATGTATTTTGATGTGTCTATGGCTTAGTTTTGCTACAGAATCTAAGCAGGAATTCCTGGTTTTGACTTTTCCAGTTGAGTTTTAAGACAAAGAAGCTTAAGAAAAGACACTGAGAACTGCACAGCTAATTGGATCACCTCTTCTCTACACTGATTTCTCTAACAAGGCAATTACTACCATAAATGTCAGACATTCTCAAAACAACTGAACATACTCTTAATGATGCCAGCAGTCTCAACAAATAGCTGTACCATGGTCATTTTGGAGTTGTCTACTACCCAGCATGTTACACTTACATCATAAAGAAAACAAAAAGAAACCTTCATAGGAAGTGATACCATTTACTTCCAGACAGTTACATATGTCAATATTAGCTTTGCTGGAGGGAAAAAAACAAATCCAAAAATGTTTTGGGGTTAAAGTGTGTTCTCTTTAGATGCATTCCATTTCATATTGCACTGCCAGTTAAAAAATGAACTGGGAGACTTGATATATGAAATCTATTCTGCTGTTGGTAAGAAGGATGGCTCACATGGCCAAAACTGGTGCTGGTCAGGGGTTTGTTCAGCTGAGTGATCTGGACAGACAGATACATGCTATTTATAAAAATATACAAAAAAAAAAATTGAATGGCAAATCTTCATTTGGAGATAGCAGAGGGTACAAAAGATTCCTTTGTCTTTGATTAGCATTGTGATTTATTTTTTTGCTTACAGTAATAAATAAACTAAAAAAAACCCCCAACAAACCAAACCAGATTAGGAGCATCTTAGGGCAGTCTGATTACTGCAACCATCTTTTCCTGTGCTCAGCTCTAGTTCCAAAATGGCATTGTTGATTTTCACAAATCTATCTATAACTGTTGGTCTCTGAAATAGCTTTAGGAAGGCTAACATCCCATAAGTCTCAAAATTAGCCTGTTATAACTCAAACTCAATTACTGCTATCCTAAAATCCACAAATGCTTTGATCATAGGTCTTTCTTCCTTTTTCCTCTGCCCTGAATACCTTGCTGATATGAAACTACCTCTGCTGTGGCAGAAGGGGTAGGGACAGCTGGGGAAGCACATTGCTGCTTTAGCAATGGCCATCTGAAGATGCTGAAATAGGACACATTTTCAATTAATGACATTTTATCATCTTTTAGAACAAAGAAAAAATGCAAGCTTGAATTATATTCTGCTTTGTGTTCCTGTGCTATCATCCTTTTCAGAGCAAAATGTTTAGTACAGGCCATTGCAGTGGGCATACCAGAACAAGACTGACTGGAAAAAAAACCCTCAGGTTATCATAAACCACTCTGTTATTACAGTAGTGTCACTCTGAAAGTGGTGGGATTACACCTATAACTTGTTATGCAGATCTTTCATGTAATGCAGTGACCATGCACGTAGGAAGTTCAATCAGCTGATTTGCTAGCAGTTGCTCAAGATTTCTCCTGTGCAGCCTGTTCAGACAGTGGCCCATGCCCACTAGTCTGTCAGTAATAAACTTGGCACAAAACAAATCACTCACATGTCTCAACCATCCATCCTGCTATAGGTTTGCCTGGTTACTAAAGTTTTTAATCAGTAGTAGTAGGCTCCAGTTAAGGATGTTTATTTAAGCAAAGAGGATTTTTCCTCAAAGTCACTTCTGCCTTGTCATTTCCAGAACCTCAGAGAGCTGTGGAAAGTAATATTAATATGCAAAAGGAAAGAATGTTTTTCAGTATACTATTTCTCAGTAAACTAGTGAAAGGCTGAACAACGCTGTTTTATTGCCAAAAAATGTGCATGTCTTTCATGACACTAGTGTTAGAAGGACACAGTATGGGGGGCTTACCAGCAACACCATGAATTGTATCATGTTAAGGTCCTTTCCAACCCTAACTATTCTATGATTCTATGATTCTATGTTAGCATAATGGTACATAAATGATTTCTTTCCTCTGTCAAGCTGGCAATTTAGTAAGATGTCACAAATATTCACAGACAGGCTTAGAGTCTTGAATCCCTTCTCTTACAGCCAAATATTCCCACCAAAAGCCAATCTCTGAAATAACAAGATGATTTAGATCCTGGCTACATAGCGAAGTTCCCACCAGGAAACCCTCACTGGTGGTGGTAGCTGCCCTCAAAGTAGCACAAGGGAAGGCAGGCAGCATACTATCTTCTACTTCCAGATCACAACTGAAACAGCAGATTCAGAAGTACTGTCTTGACAAAGTTCTGCAACAGCATTTTAAGTGGGATGAGAATATGGTTTCAAAACCCTTTGGTCAAGGTCAACTTGTTTCTTGGTTCTTCCTGCCACCTGTACAGAGGAGTGACAGGAACTGTTGGTGAGGACTTTGTGGATATTCATGGGAATGTGGTGTGGTGATGACTGAGGGACCCAGAGCTGTGAGTTGGAGTGGTTTGGCTCAGGCAGTCACTCCCACAGGGGACTGTGTTAGCTGCGGTGGGGAAGCAGTAGTGGGGAGCTGGTGCTGAAGCAATTAAGCATGAGTCAAGTGGGAGAAATGGTCTGTTTTGATATTGTAACTATGCAGAGGCTGCTGTTTGTGAGGAGTTGTGTGCGCAGACTGCAAATAGTCTCTATCACAGTTGGAAATGTGGTGATTCATTGTGGTCACTGTGTTTCTACCACGACTTGTTTTCTTCCTTCCAAATTTCAGTACTCCTTATTTCATTGGGCTTTTTGTTCTGTGTTTCTTCCTGGGCTTCAGCAGTCCATAGCAGACAGTCATGTCATCTTCCTTAGCCCCATAGACATGGCATGTGGAAGAAATTCAGTCCCCTGAGCATTATTTGTTTCTCTTTTTTATCTGCTGAGCATCAGTAACCTGTATTTGGGTCTTCTATAGACAGCCTGTGATAGGCTTGCATGTCCTAGGAGGCTGCTTGTCTGTCACTGCACTCCTCTTCCTCCTGCTAGGCAGATTGTGTATCTGTGGGTCAGAGAAGAATAATCAGGACTTGAAACAGGTTCAGAGAAAACTTGGAACATAAAACTTGGCAACATCACCCAGGCAATTGGTGCTGGAATCTGACTAACTCCATTCTCTCGGGCGCTCTGCCAGTCTCTGCTGTGGCCTTTGCATATTTTCAGGCATAGACAAGTTAAAATACTAAAAAAAGTTTTGCAGTCTGCCACCATAAGCAGCTGAAAGACTGCGAAGCCCTTTATTCAGGACCTTGAAGCATGGTAAGCACAGCCTTCTTTTTTCTATCTTTCCCCAGTATGTGCAGAGAGGGCATTTCAGAGGTTCTGAACTCAGCAGAGCTCTACTTCCCAGAAAAGGCAAGAAACTTATCTGGCATGCTTTCCAATGGTTGCCCCAAACACCTCCCTTCAGTAAGAAATCTCACACAGAAAATCCAGCTATGTCTTTCCCCTGGAAACTGAATAGCTGTTCTTTAAATTTTCTTAACATCTATCATAGCTTAAAATAAAATATTGGATGACTACAAACTACTTCTTTATCCAGCTGGCAAAGCCAAAATCTTTGACCAGCACTGACAGGAAAACAAGTGAGCAACTAGAAGAGCAGCTCTGGGGGCTGAAGAAACATTCTAAGCAAAGAAATATGAAAGCCAAATGTACAAATGGCCCAAAGTTTGTATTACTGCCTCAGTAATGCTGCCTCAGCTGTAAACATACTGAGGAATTGACCGATTGATACCAGTGAATTAAATTAATTCAAATGCATGAATTCAACTTATAAAATTAGCAACAGCTTATCCCTGGCCATGGGTAGTGAGCAGTTACTGTAAGCTTTTATTATGACTGTAACATAAAGATTAACAGCACAGGGCTGCTGTAGCACTGGTGGAATAGAAGACATGATGGTCAAACAAACTGGAGTGCTTGGGAGGCATATAAAGCTGGTGAATATAACTGGCAGCCTTTTAAAGGGTAAGAGCAGGAGGCATTTGTATTTACCAGATAGGTCTTGTACCTACTTGGGCAGGAACTGAAATAGTCTATCCTGCTCTTGAGATATTAACAGACTGTGTAATAAATGTGTCTCACTTACAAACCACTCTGTAATTTCACAGCAACTCCAGCTATCACCATCATACTCGCATTTCCCAACTATCTGCAATGGAATGACCCCCTACTGCTAGTCAACAAACTCAACTCTCCTGCCTGTCAACCAACACATGCTTCCATAGGCTGTTGCATTACCTCCTTCCTCCCTTCCCTTAGAGCTCCCAGCTTTTAGTATTTTACCTGTTGAATGCAATACACTCTTTGCTTCTTTCTCCAGTTTCCTGTTCCTCCTTGTTGAGGTCCAGAGGTTTTGGCTCTGTAGAATGAGCCAGAAGGTGCAGAGAATCTGGTGCAGTTCTTGGAGAGAATGAAGTCTTCCAAGTCACATAGCTTTGTATTGCTGTGATTGATGCTTGGTTGATATCTCATTTCTCCAGGCTCTCAGAAACTGGCAAATCCTGTGGCCATCTTACTTTTTATGTTCAGTTTGTATCTGCTTGTGTATTTTCTTTCTTCCAGAGTACACTCAGGGAGCTGGTCTCAGTTTCGTGTAAAGTGCTTTTAGTAATGATTCCTCTTACAGATCAACTATTCAACAGAAGTGGGTGAGGACTAGCACTAGTACTGGGTTATACTGATATTTTAATGAGGATGCTGGCACCTACTTGCTTAGAGTTTTGTACTGTGAGATATATAGTAAAGGGATAGGTACAGAGGCAGTACACAAACAATACCAATGAGTTCTGACAAACAGACCTACCAACACAACCTAAACCCATTCAGGATGATACTGGTAGAGTAAGACTAAGCTATCAGCTTCATGCAACCTGTCAACCTTGCCAAAGTTTTGCTCACACTCCTGACTGAAAGAGAGCAGCAGCATGCTTTGCTGCCAGGCAGGAGAGCCCTGGAGGTGGAATCTGCCACTTAACCTGTTTAAAAGTAATAAAAATTGTGTGGATGGGTGTGATACCAGCCCAAGAGATTTAATCTCTTTTGCATCTCCTGTTGCCCTTACAAATGAAATCTTAAACCTACAGATTAATCAGTTTGAAAAACAGGCAAAAGAAGCAAATTAAGACATTAATTAGATGTGAAGTGACCTTACCTATTAAGGTATGAAATACAGCAGCTACAGCGCCAGCCACAACCATGCACAAAACTGCTTTGATCCTGTCTCTCTTGCTGTTCACAAACACCAGACCTACATTTTTGAAGTCACTCATCGGACCCGTGAAGAACTTCATCAGGGAGTATGCCAGCCCATAGCTGGCCAGCATCTCCACAGCATCTTCCTTGACAGCAGCGATGCCCCGATTCAAGGCCTGTTGAAACACAGAAAGAGCAAATAATGTAGCACATGTGGAAGTGAACCCAAACCAATCTTCAGCAGCTGATTTCTGAAGGACCAAGCAAGTTTAGCTCTCATCATTTTCATCCTGAGTTGGACCTTAGTTCTCTGGGTTCAGCAGCAGTAGCTTGTGACTTGTGACACAGGCAACTTCATAGAATCATAGAATAGTTAGGGTTGGAAACAGTAAATTCAAGTCAAGTAGACTTGAAGATAAGGTAAATATCTATTTGTGAAGTATATGATGGAACTCCTGCTATACCAGAAGTCAGTGTCTTTCCTTTTTACAGTAATTTTATGACCTGCTAATAATCATGGATAGTACAAGACCATTTAAATTCCATTTTGAGGCCTCAGCCCTAAAGCAAACAAAGCACAGTTCCTTGCAGGCCATCCTTACAGGTAAAAACTCTGACAGTATTATATGCTAAAATTTCAGCTCAATTCATTTTTTTCAGTGTAATGACCTTTTCATTATATCCCATGTAATTTTGGATTGCTGGTATTATCCTGTGACGTTTATTATGAAACTAGGCCAAATATGTATGTGCCTAATTGTTCTCCTTTCATGAATTTCACAATGTTCTGATCCTATATTCATTTATACCTCCTTGTACCATATTTGAAAAGAAATACAGCCAGCACATATATTTCAAGACATTCAGGTTCAACTAACCTACTAATTCATTCTAGGTCTGTATGTAGGAAATGTCTGCCAATGAATCATTGAGAATTAGATGGATTATTTTTATAACTAAACTGAACCATAGAAAAAAATGTGTAACATTGCTTTAAATTCCAGCTTGCACCAAAACGATTCTAAAATACAGAGTAAAAATGACAGAATGATAAATTTTATCTTCAGTGTGACAGCATCAATCATCTGGTACACCCAGCAAACTGTTAAAACAAGACTAGGTTCAAAAAGCATGAAGGATGAAATACGACTTGTTGGATTTAGTTCCTATGGGTTATAGCTGATGCATGCTGACAGGGCCATGGCACTGAGGCCAACCTGGAACATCTCACCAACCCACCCTCCAAACTTCAGTCAATCCACTTACACAGCAGTTCTAATACTGCTTTTTCTGAATGAACAAACCAGGCAGAGTATCATCAGGTAATCATAATGAAGTTTTTCTCCTTCATAAGCATAGTCTTTTTGCTGCAGCCTTCTGACTTTTTTTTCCCGTTCCAAAGACCATATAGGCAAGCAACTACCACTGACTTCAAAAGAAACCTCATCCCCGTAGCAAAAATGAGCATTTTTTTCTACTGTTCTTTTCCACTTTCTGTGAGGAGTGCTTAATTTTTCCAACTAAAACTGCACTGTCGGCACAAGAAAAAGCTGTAGAAAATATCAGTTTCTCCATCCTTGGTATCTGCAAAATCTTTCTCTTGCAATGTGCTTGGACTTGAACACCTGAGGCTCCAAATGTTTTCATATGTGTCCCTCCAGCTCCCTTCCTGAAAATACTATATATTAGATATGGAATATCTGCAGTTGATACATGAACCTTTTCTGGGCTATAGATAATTCCATCTATTGCACTGATAAGAGTTAAAATTATATTTAATCTGCAGATGTGATGATCTTAAGGTCCTTTCCAACCCTAAGCATTCTATGATTCTATGCCAAAACCACTAAAGTGTGCATAAAACTGTACGCAGTTCGTGAAAAAGACTGTAGCCTTTGAAATTAATAGTCAAGTTTAGCTGTCTTTTGCCATGATGCTTGTGATGATGTTGTAATCCATATCAAGGTGTATACAGAGTTGTAATCTTTTCATTTATATTTCCTATAGATGCTGAATCTCCCTTCTGCTGTCACCAGTGATAGGCAAATAGCCTTAGATTACACCATACAGAGGGCTTCTTGATCATGGCTTTCACCTCCTCTTTTGTCAACAGTGAAGTGTTTCTGGCAGCTCCACTTTAGAGAGGAACAGCTAACCAATTTCAGGTACTCTGGTTTAAAAGCCTTCTGTCACATGTAAACAGCTGAATTATTTCCAGCACAGTTTCACAAGCACAAGCGCTTCCTTCCTGCTTCAGACAGCTACAGAATACCAAAGTATGTGGAGGATGGTAACCCAGCTTTTGACAAGGTCCCTGGGATAAACATGGCTTTAAGAAATCACATTCTGTCAAGAAGCACTGTGATCCCTTTGCAGAGAGACAAATCTTTACCAAGCACAGTACCCAGGCCAGTGAAAATAGCTCTGTGTGACTTGGGGTATCTAAGTTTTTCCTCCTCAGGAGGACAGGCAGAAAGACCTGAGCAGCTCTCCTTCTCTCCCTCTCTGGTTTTACAGGATGAACTCTGATCGCTTTTGTACGAAGAAATGACAGCCAAGTAGATACTTCTGAGTAATCTTCCCCAGAGACACACTGTGTACCAGGTAAGGCAGACTGGCAAATTCCAAAAGGGACTTTTGTAAGAGGTATGTTACCATTAATTTATACTCCTGTGGAATGGCTGACATGATGAAATACTCTAGAGGCTAGCCCTGAAAAGTAATCCTTCCAAATGCTTTTTTGGAAAGATTCTTAGGAAATGAATTGTTAGTAAGGCTGCGTACAGATGATTTAGCTTCTGCAGCTTTCTTTTTCCTTTTTTTCAGTTTAAGATGACAACACAGAAGGTTCTTCATCCTCATCTTCCAAACACTATATAAGAATTTTAGTAGCTTTTCTACTCATGTACCTTAGAATATTTTCACTACTGAAGCTGCTGATGTCATATCTGATATCCTTAAATCCACAAGAAATCCCAAATACTTCATAAAGCATCTTTGAAGTGCAGTATGGAAGACACAGGCACTTCATCTTTCATGGCATGTCAGCCGTGAAGTTGGTAATCTAATCTCCTGTTAAGTTTAATTTCCTTTTAGATTTCCAATTAAATCTCTCACAAAGTAAGAAGAATATAAACCAGGGCAAGGTCTCAATTTTTTTATCGGACACTATTTTGTACAGTTTTGGGTGAACAAAAATCAATAACAAAATTTCATCAGTAGCATCCATATTCCACGTTAGTTTCATACACAACAGAACGTATCTCTAGAAAGATTTGTATAGCTTGTCAATAAAATCACACAGAACTAGGTAGGAATAAAAACAACTATTTAATACAAGAAGTTAGCTTGATCATACGTATTTCAGATGTCATCCTGCTTTCAGATAGCTTATTCAGATCAAACTTGAAGGGAAAACTAAGAAATCCAGATGCTGAAAAAAAAAAGACTGTTTGTGATGGTGCCTTCTCCTAAGATTTTAATGAACAGCTAACCTAATAGATGAAAATGACACAGTAAATTGCTATTCATCAAACGTGATTAAAACAAAGCCACTGACATTGGTGACTCCTCTTTTAGAAATAACAAAAAAACCCACAAAGTAATTCCAAGCTCAGCACAATCCGGTAGGTACATGAAAAGGTTAGTTGAAATAAGTGTTATTCCTAAAACACTTCTCAAGAAGGCAAACACCAGGATCTACAGCAGGTATTATGCAGTGTCGTTTGTAACACATCATGTTATCACTAGAAAGATAAAATCTTTACTAGGGGACCTGGTAATAACCTCTTCAGCCTTTTTTAAAAATGAATAATTGTGTGCTGTCCCTAATGTTCACTAAAATCAGAGAGAACTAGCATTTATATAAACTCCCATCAAAAAGATTCAAGTCAGAAGAATACCAAATAATGCACCTAATGACATTTCAAGCCAGTAACCATGGCTTTACAATTGAGTACTGCAGCTGGCTTTATCCTCTTAGAAGGAACATATGAGACCTCTATCAAATTCCTAGGACATGCATAATGGATGAATCCAACAAACTCCTGTATGCAAAGGCAGTGATTCAAAAAGCAACAATTGTGAGAAAAATGTTGAGTCTAGCTTGTCCTATTTGCCTGAGCTTTCAGCACTATTCACTAATGTTGGCAGAAAAGGTTTGGTTCCAGTCTACAGCTACACACCTCTGCTGCCAAAAATTCAAAGTCTGTCCATTAAGTCAAAGCCTGTTGGTTCTACAAGTCTGACCATTTCTCACATGATCCTCTCAGAGACTACTGGATGACTGATACCATATTTTTTATCGGATTAGACATATAAAGGCATTAAAAAGAAAATCCACTGAGAAAGCCATATGTATTGTATATGTTTTCTTCTGCTTTTACAAAAGTTTTATTACCTACATACTGCATAAAATTTAAACAGTCTATATCTAACTAGAAGGGAACACTTTCTACTTCATTTGATGTATTGACTATGCAGTCAATACTTGACCAGTGCATGTGTTCCAAATAAGAGCAAGTAAAATCCAAGAACTGTAATTCTTGCCAGTCCTCAGTTTTGCTTATCATGGAAAAGCAGACTGTGACCTAGTGAAAGCTGGCCCGTTCCTATGGTTTCTTTAAAGCTGGGATTCTGCCTAAGATGTTTTCAAGTCAGTTTTAGCTAGTTACCTACCTAAGCATGACAGCAAAAACTCACTCGGTTTGGAACTATGTTTGGTTCAGTGAACATCTGTAACATGTTTTCCCTCCTTTTACCTGCCCTCTCCTAAGAAAATGGAAGAGCTGAAGTGTTCAGTTAAAAAGCAACCTGATGTAGGGGACAGTCTTCCTCCTGTGTCAAATAATCTCTCTCCCAACAACTGTTAGCTGAGTTTTCATTTACTAAATTCTGTCACAGTGAAATCTTTGGTATCGGAGGCACCGGCTGGCTTCTGCCTCCCCTGTCACTGCTGCAGGAATTGTGATGCCAGAAGGACACCTGACAGACCCGATGCTCTGTACGCATGGCATAACCAGACCACTGTGTCCATGCAACCTGGGTGATATCACATCTGCATCTCTGCTTCTGGATCCATTTCTTGTAAAGGCAAGAGCCCCTGGTAGGCAATTTAAGGGAAACAGCTAGTGCTCTGACACAGGAGCGTGTAAGACTTCCATGGCCATAGGCACAG